CCTCGTTTCCAGAACAACAACTCAAGAGTTGGCCAGCATAGCGACTGTAATACATCCAGGGACGGTATATCCCATGACTAATTTGAAACTATGAAGGCAGCTCATTTGTGTAATTTGTTTAATGTATTGACATTTCCGACTATTCTACGTACCATGAACCAGTGGCGTTCCTAGAATTTTCAAAAGGGAGGTGTTTGAAATGTGATGGCATATTTTCTAGTGACCCAGCGAGGGAGCAAGGTGACATTTGGGGTCTTGCTTTTTCGAGGGCGCACAAGGAAATACGATTTTTGTGTGCGTGCGTGTGTGCGTGCGGGTGTGTGTGTGTGTGTGTGTGTGTGTGAATTGAGTTTTTACAGACGTGTATCAATCAGATATGATTATTTACGTCTGGGGACCGACCTTTAAACGTCACCATCCGAAAGACGTGACTCAGTTTCGAACCTGCGTCCTCGCCTGAATTAGTTTGAAACTTCCACTGTTAGCTGGATTGCAGGCGCATGCCACAACGCGTGTGTGTCGGATGTTGCCTCTATTCAAGTCGTCGAAATAACCTCTGCGACGCATTAGCGGTACGGAAAAAAATACGCCAACGGGAACGCCGGTACTACATCGGTATTGGTACTGCCAATTTCAAGTGCTTTCTCGACGGAGCTCCGTCGAGTTTTCTAGCCGTTATTAATAATTGTGAACTTCTGTTTAGTCCCGGCGAGGTACATCAGCGAGTTGTGACAGGCCCTTAACATGCACCTCTCCGTTTCATAAACGCAGGCTATGTTACTGTGGAAAAAACCTGTTCCTGTGACAGGACATTAAATGGAGATGAGACTCGAGGGATACGGTAGTGCAGACGTGCAGTTCGCTTTTCGTCTCTCAGGCACAGGTGGCGCTAGACACTTAATAATAATAATAATAATTTTCCATTAAATGTCTTTCTCGTAGACTCCGTTACCAAGGTCTCATACCACCAACACCAAGAACTGAGAAAGACTTTGGTCCAGTCGCAAAGTACCATATCGCTGTCGATTGATCTTATACCAGGCGAATAGGCCATTTCGTAATGTAATTAAACTTTAAAAATGCATAAGTCTTTGTCTAAGTGCTTAGTTACGAATTATGTCAGTGGCCTATAACGAATGATTTATTTAAGTAGTAAGAGTGTAATGTGCATACAATAAGTGTTGATAATTTGGGCAAGCTATATTATGTTTCCTGACCTAGCAATGAGTATTGTACACAGTGTTTATTCTGACTATTGAGGTGTAATAATTCATAACAAGTCAATTAGCATGACAGATGAAGTATTACGTACACATGTACATATACATAAATTGGAATCCATTTTGAAAATGACCTATTAAGCAAGGGATATTAATTTTGTGTAATGATCACATTATTGATAATGACGAGCGTGAAGATTGAAATTAGGAGCCTGAATCGAGGACGAATGATAGATTTTGTGATTTCACAGAATGTGCTTGTATTTAGGAGAGGATTAAGATAAGGATTGTATTATGTTGGTTCCTGTTGGGTAGTCGTATAGTTGTAATCCTGTGGTTTAACCACTGGACTGGGAATGCACTGAAGGTCTTGAATTCGAACGTATAGACACGGCTCTCATCATATGAAAAGGCCTATTCTATATTCTTCGTTTGTCGCTTTCATCCAAGATGTGAGTGAGAAAATGGAAGAGTTTACAAATAGTGTACAAAAAGGAAGCTACTACTTCTAAAGTACTACTTTTAAAGCCATTGGGAAGCGCAACGAGACGTAATACCAATATTGGATGTACGTTTTAAAGAACGAATTCTTTGAATCTTTGCGTACTTGGAGCATCTATAATCCCGATATATTTTTATGGTCGTACATGGAGGCGAGTACATGGATTAGAGCACGACAATTTGATATATACCTATACGTGTATATGACACAATATTAAGCATCAAACTTTATTATTATGGGAGATAATTCTCTGCATCATGATCGAAGTATCAAATATAATCATAAAATTGTTATCCTTCTTTTTTTCTGTCTAATAATACAGAAACTTCATCATTTATGTCCTACAGTTCAAATTCCTCGAGTTTTTGTGGCAATTAAGCTGCGAACCAGACTCAATAGCCACTCAATAAAAGTGACATCTATTAATCAAACGAGGCTGAAGCTTTACTCGCGTGACTGTTCTTCATATTTTGTTAATTAGTAACAATTTTTCACTGCTTCATAAATTGAGGTGAGAGGGAACTAGCTTACGAGTAGTGTCCGTTGTTTGAACTTTTACCACAGCTGGAACCGAGTAAAAATATTAATACAGCATTCTAACAAAGTGTATTATCTTTTAGATTTTCTCTACATTTACGTCAACGCCTTTCAGAAGATAATTTGGAAGTGGAAGGATCTTGAACGAAGGGTGACCTGCAAACTCCTCACCAATTGTATTATGAAGAAGAAATCTTATCTTGTGTTGACCATCTTTCATATTTAATGATCTTGTGTTCTACTTTCTGTATAACTTTAGTAACACGCTGCAGATGATCGAGCAGGCCTTGACCTAAGCCTCTAGAAACTTTCATTGGAAGCAGAGAAATCATTGCCCAATCTCTGATAATCAACTTTAGCATGTGATTATTTACTTAATATAGCACTTGAATAAATATTTCGATGCAGTTTATCACAACTTGTCTGCAACGTATTAAGTAATTTTTGGGAAACATAAAATGTAACTCAGCTGTTTTTTTTGTACTGTTGTTTTCCCCTTTTTATGTGTATTTGCATATTGTCGTCATACAAATACATAAATATCTAATGTGATATTGTATTTGTTTTCAATATTTTATTCCATCAGTTGAAATTGATAATGAGCTAACGAAATGAAAAAGGAGTTATGAGAAGTGGCAGGCAGACAAAGTCATGATGGAGTGAAAGAAATCATTCGACGAGTAAAAGGACCAAACGACCTGCAATTAGTTACCCTTTAACTTTTGGATACGAATTACGTTGAATATCATGAAAATCTATGCATAAGTTATCCTTAACAGTTCAGTAGTTAGGAATGATTTTATATTTTGCATATAGTCCGATGCCCTTACCCGTGAAGTGGCGGATCCAAGGGTTACATGGGGCGTGTCCCCAGGATATGTATGGGTATATTGGAATATAGAGATGTGTATCATCAATCATCGATCAAGGCCTATATGCATTGCAGCATGACTTCAAGATATCTCGCTTTATATCTTGGATCATAATTATCATGGAATTTGTAACATGTCCTTTCCAATTGGGGTATTTTGTGGAACTCATCATTCTCTCTTTTTTCATTGTAAGTGCTCATACAGTGGTGTTATGCTATGTGTTGATTTCGGAGCTCCAATCCTGTATGCTCTGTTTATTATAAATTTTCATTTATCAAAACTTATACTAAATTTGATTTTCATATACTTAGTATCTTAATATATACATTTACTCTAGATACTCCGGGAATAAATATAAATTAAGTGAAGTTAAATGGAATATCGTATATCAGTTGTGTGCATGAATGCCTAGGATAAAAAGAGGAGAAAAAAAAATTGAACTTTCAAAATGCAAAAAAAATAGAAAAATCAACGGGTTGTTCCGTGGTTGTATTTTGCCTCACTACCGTAGTATCAGGACGTGCCTACGATCGAGTTTGCTTTATCAATCACTTTGAAGATGTGTATTTTGTTCTACTTCTCTATCACCCCTCCCCCACCCCCTCTCTCTCTCTCTCTCTCTCTTTCTCTCTCTTTCTCTCTCTCTCTCTGAACAAATATCACTGGACACGTTAGATAACCGAATATGAAAGGATCCATTCGTCTTGAATGCATTACATTATGGTGATTGATGAGGTTTTGGGGGATTCGCTATGGTTCTATGTTTAAACATCAGAACATGTCAGCTTCCATCTAGAGCTTTTCTATGTATGTATAATATTTGTGTTATGGATGTTCTATCGCTGTTTCTTGACTGATATTATGTACAAGGCGTCCACACATACAATGGAAACAAACATGAGAGTTATGATCACATTCGGAATGTTTAATACCACGTTTTATAAGTAAAAGAGAAAAAATAAACGAAATATATTGCACATAATATTATTTTTTTCTAGAAACACAAGGGGCGTCAAATAGGGGGAGTTTCTGTGGTCATGATAATCGAATTTAAAGGGATAGTTGAGACCGCAAATGCCTTCAAGGTGCATGCTTATTGCTCTTATTCTTATCTATGACATTTCTAGTTTCCTTTTGGGACCTAAAATTGCTATGAAGGTAATTTTAGACCCCAAAATGTGTAAAATTTTGCCAATACGATCATACCAATTCAGCTCCACTGTCAACAAAATACGGTGACCATTAATCAATTAATTAATTAATAATAATAATACATGGGCCGGCTGGTTGTGTGTAATATAACCAACACGACAAAGCCAACAAAAATACAACATCGGCATTGGCTGAAATACAACGTAAAAGGCGTTATTTCGCTTTTTCAACGGCCTTTTTAAATTATCGAATATTTATGGTGGTACACAAATATTAGAAATCTTTATATTTATGGATATTTCAGCCGTCTCTGAACCGATTTTGATCAAACAAAGATGATTGTGTCATTTAAATTGTATGTTTTTTCAAATTTGACACTCAGCTTTTCATTATCTCACAACAATTTCTTTTTATGTAGCGCCCTCTGCAACAGAACTCAACTATCCCTTTAAATTACTGCCGAAAAGTTTTGTTTTTTTATATTGAAAAAAATAATAAACATAACCTCACTTTCTCTGGTTATATTTTTGAATAATTAAGCTTCTGTCGGCAAAAATGCTGACCATTGCCTATTTTGTTTGTGGAAAACTTGTAATAACTATTCGACAGTTTGGTCCTATCATCCCTTATCGAAACTGCCTAGAGACGCTCTTGAATTAGTACGACAAGGGAATTGTGTATAGAATGTATGATATATCATTAATTTTGTCCAATAATTTATTGCATCCAAGAAAAATTGCGTTGGAGTAGACCCGACAATTTTACGTCATACTCCTCATAATACTGTTTCAGTTTCTCGATAATGTTTTCATCCACAATCGGAAGGTGGCGCTGTGACATTTCGTAGACACAGTGTGTATCAGGTCTCCTCTCGACATTCACACAGTATCGTCCATCCTGGTCATGGAATTCAAAATGGTCACCGCGGAAGAATTTTTTGATGCCAAGGAACGTTTCTAACCTTGCTAAAGTCTGAAGAGGCTGATGGACGAAGTCATCTCTGTCAATGACTAGGTAACCTTCATTATCATTAACAAGGGATTGAAGTTTCTTCAGAGTGTTGTAATAGACTCCAGTTCGAATCAAGGAAGAGTCAGCATTTACTCGGTTATATCGATCTATCAAGGTGTTCTCGACGGTTACGGCATTGTCCTGGTGATTGTATGGAACTAGCTCGTCATCGGCTACTGTTTCATTAGGATTTTGGAAGACGGTGGGCTGCATGGAATGTAGTGTGAGGTTTAAAACACCTCGATGAGTACTTGCTATTTCTGATATTATTCTGGCTACAGGGTCTCGAATGACGACCACCACCTTGATCCCAGGGGCCGCTCGCTGAATAGCGCCCTCTAAAAGATCGTGATCATCAGCATACGCGGGTGAATGCTCGATTGTCATTTGAAATCGTGATGAATATGGTTGCCCACGTCTCCACTTGGAAATTTGACGATCCAAGTCAATGCTAGGCCACTCGAAGTGTGACTCTGAATGCGAAATTACGGAGGGATGAAGCCCCAATACTTTGGAGAGAATGAAAGAATCGCAACCCCTGACCCCAATGACAAGCGCCTGTGGCAACCTCTGCTTACATTCCATTGCACGTAATGCCTTGTGGTTGGTGAGGAGCTCGATCTCACCACTCGCCATGTAGGTATAACAGCCGACTTTATACATATCCCACGCCTCAGACTGAGTAATTGTACCCTTCTGTTTCCTCTTCCAATCTGATATGGAATCTTGTCTTTCATCCGCCCTGTGTCTCTGTTTACCCTCCATGTCATCTTCTGAATCACCAAAGTGTATCCAGGCAATACGAGTCAGAATTAACCAGGTCGCTATCAGAATGATCGCCGCAAGCACTGGCGCCAGTCCCGCCTGTGACCGGCTAATCTGTCCAAAGCGTCCCATTTTCCAGATTCGGAGGGTGATTCTGCGACGATAATCCCTCCTAACTCTTCGCGAGATCATCCACGGTTTGGTTGGCGTCCCTCTGTGTAAGAAAGCATTTCAACTCGTCGTATCGGGTAACACTGCCGAGAGCTAGAGAGAAATGAGAGATGAGAGTAGGATGAATAATTGTAAGCATGCCCCCGGATATAACCCGCATATTTGATATATTGTTATGTCAAAACAAACATACTTCAGAAGAATTGCCTCAGGATGTTTGATCTTTAGAGCGCTGTTCCGAGACAGAAGATAGCATGTTGATATATCAGCTACTGCAGTTCAAATTTAATAATGTTTAAAAAACGGGAAAAATAAATAATCCTTATATTTACTTCGTCATCTTCTTCAAATATTTCCATAAACACAAGGGGGCGGATCCAGGATTTAGCCCAAAGTACGTGCAATTATGAATAAACCCGATAATAATTCATTAGCCGCTAATATCAATACATAAACAATCACTGAAAAGTCAAAATAAACATATGTAACGGTCATTACATTAAAAAAAAATGGTGGTTTTGGTGGTTTATGATTTGAAACTGCACAGATTTTACTCTTTAAAAAAAATTATTTGATAAAATAATAATAACAAACATGAAAGGCGAAGTATCATTTATACAAATATGAATGCTCCGACGTTCAATATGAGGAAATATATGAACTGAAAAATATATTTCCCGAGTGATGTTATATATTTCACCGAGGTTTAAAGAATACGTATCTGATATCAACTCAAATGTTTTGAACGAAGAAGATGCAAATTTATGTGAGGGAAAAATCACAGAGAATGAATGCTGGGAAGCATTGAAGTCAATGAAGATGAACAAATCACCTGGAAGCGATGGACTCAGTGTTGAATTTTATAAATGCTTCTTGGGGGATATCAAACATATGGTAATTGACAGTCTGAATGAGGGTTACGTCAAACAACAATTGTCGTGCACACAAAGTCAAGCTATCCTTACTCTATTATATAAGAAAGGTAACAAAAATGTTTTAGACAATTGGCGACCTATTTCGCTGTTAAACATCGATTATAAACTTGCAGCTCGCATTCTTTCAATACGATTACAGAAAGTTATATATAAACTTGTATCACAAGATCAGGCTGTTTTTTTTTTTAAACCGCTCTGCATCTGAATGTACCAGACTAATTCAGGATACTTTTGATTATTGTCTTTTTGCAAACAAACCAGTTGTTATGATGTTCTTGGATTTCAAAAAAGCATTCGATACCATTGGTCATGTTTTTTTTATTGTCCTTGTTACGAGAACTTAAATTTAAAGATTCGTTTTGAAGATGGATTGAAACGTTATATAATGGTGCTCATGGTCGTGTCTTAAACTTTGGTTGGATATCCGACAAATTTGCAATAGAAAGAGGCGTTAGGCAAGGTTGTCCACTTTCTCCACTTTTATTTATAATAATTGCAGAGGTTTTAGGGAAAAGAATTAAACAAAACGCCAAAATAGAGGGAATCCAAGTCCCAGACTTCAATGAAGATCAAGCTGATTTTAAAGATATACGTATCGTTCAATTCGCAGACGATACGACGATTATTACTAGATCTGTTAAATTTGTTAAAGAAATAATGAAAGAAGTAGAACTGTTTGGAGCACATGCGAGACCAAAAATTAACTGGACCAAATCAAATCTTATGAAACTTAATATAAATGACGATGAAGTTGAAGATTTATATTTCACCGAAGACCCTATAAAATGTCTTGGTATTTATGTAGGTAAAAATCATTTTGACGTTCAAAATTTAAACTGGGAAAGTAAAGTAGAGAAAATAAAGAATACCTTGGATTTATGGGAAATGAGAAAACTTACATTGTACGGAAAAGTTGTTGTGATTAAACATTTAGTTATGTCTCAGATAGTACATACTGCCACGGCAGTTCCGATCCCTCCTAAAATAATTAAACGTATAAATAAACTGGCATACACATTTTTATGGAATTCTAAGACAGAAAAGGTGAAACGAAACATCTGTCACAATCCTGAAGTAGAAGGGGGTTGGGAATGATCGACTTAGAGTCAAAATGCCGGTCACTCCGTCTTTCATGGATTCATAAATATTTAAGAGATGAACAAAGTGCTTGGAAAATTTTGTTTAGATATTGGATCAAGAAAATTGGGGATTTGCCACTTTGTTTGCATTTTAATTGCAAAAAGAGCGATATGTGTTGTATTTGTAGAAAAAAACAGTTGCTTAACTTTTATGTTGACATGTTTTGTTCTTGGGCTGATTTAAAATACATTGATATGTTTAAAGTAACATATATTGAAAATGAAATGATTTGGTATAATAGCAATAATAAAGATATGAATGAGTTATTGTATTTTCCAAACTGGATAAGAAACAATATTTTTAAAGTGAAAATGAATTACTTTCCGCCTTCAAATTGGCAAAGTTAAAAAGTGCATTTCCGAATTTTTGGTTGCAGAAATTACGTAATAGGTTACAATATGTAAATAGTCCACCGTCTGCAGTGGAATCCAGTATAATAGAAACAGTAACAGGTGATTCCATTGATGTAGCGGTTATGAAAGCCAAACACTATTATAATTTGATGTTAGAAAAAAATAGACAGGATCTGCCGTGCATTTATTTTTGGAACGCTTATTTTGGTTTACCTAATGATTTTAACTGGAAAACGGTGCTCCATTATAAATTTTACTTTATAAATGACAACAGAATTAAGCAGTTTAATTTTAAATATCTTCATAGAATATTGCCCAGTAAAGACAATTTATGTAAATGGAAGATTAAAAATAATAATCTATGTAATATATGTAAGATTCCAGATACAACTAACCACCTTCTCCTGGCTTGCAAGAAGGTTTCGCTTTTTTTTTGGAAGATTGTATCCAAATTAATTGATACTTTGTTTAATTTTAAAATCTTTTTGAACGACGAAATTCTTTAAATAGGTCATGAAATAGAGAGAAGAGAAATGAATCTTTTCAATCTTATTTTAAACTTCGCTCAGTTTATTATCTATAGAAACTATGTACTGTACTATGTATGATATGTTACAACTGCATGAATTCTGTATTTAAACACTGTTGTAAATGGCTGTTATTTAATGATATGAACAAATAAAGTCCCTCGAAAGAGGATAAATAGAAGGAAAAAAATATTTCACCGAGGCAACAGGCCGATGTTGAAATAATTATAATTGCTCGAGTGGCATTCTGGATTTGGAAGTGAATATAATACGCAATGCATGCAGTATGTGGCATATAAAGTTTAGGTTATCCTTTGGAGTCCGGCCCTCTCAGTTCACTGCATTCAGGTTGCCTTCGAGTCAGATGCGCATTGCACACTCGTGATCGTGCACATAATAACAAAATGTTGAGTGTCACATGACACCTTTCCAGCCAATGGGATACTCGCTAACAAATAACCTAATTTATAAAACAGAATGTTGAGTGTCACGTGATATATTTTTAGCAAGTAGGATGGATACTCGGGAATTAAAAACTTTTTTCGTATACAATTTCGGTATTTTCAGAATAGGATTTATTATAAGATGATGAAGCAGATCCTAATCGAATGATCGGTTGAGAGCGTATACCAGGCATATATTTTGCCTAACACGTAATTTTACTAATGACCGGTCACTAGTAAATACTTATGATCGGTCATTAGTAAAATCATGTTATAAAATATTATTTCATAAAACATATAAAACAACATCTTATAAAACAAATAATACACATCATTTTATTCGGGCAGAAATTTACCCAGACTCGCTACCTTCGAAACAGTCCAAACATCCTCGGCTATCGCGTGGGGCGTGTGGGTAATTCTTACTGATGCCCTCACTGCTGTGTATTATTTGTATACTATCTGTATTCGATATGCGTGAAATCGAAACATATATTTATGTGTGCCCGAAATGGTATCAAAATCCGTTGCAGAGCGATGAACTTAAGGGGCGTTGACAAAATAGCTTGCTTTCAAATGTTTACATAAAAGGAGATCAAGTAACAGACATGTCTCACAAACTGAAAACTGTTCCAGTTCATTTACAACAAATGAATGTCATATGGTCAGTGGTAATCTTTATCCACTTTAACTGTGGAGAAAGGGTTTTAAAATAATACATGTAAATTTAGATGAAAAGACACCATATCGAGAAATGAGGTGTGTGGAAGAAGAAGGGGCCGCATAAGAGGAAGAGGAGACAAATAAGTACCTTAAGAGGTGTAGGCGAAATAGTTTAATATGGAGATAGATTTAGCCAAACACAGAGTTGTAAAGATTCTATTAAGGTTGTCATGGCATGTAGCAGTTGGTAACTCAACTACGTCTTTGGACAAATATACGGCGTCAACAAAACATTTACTTTTCAGTTTTATGGTGTTTAGAAAGCAGAGTCCAAAGTTGCTAAAACCATCATAAACCAATTGTTGTACCATTTTGTGGAGTGACCCGTTCTCCTGATAAAATGGGCGTTGCTGTTTTTGCTCGAGGTCTTCTCTTTGTATTCCTTTGTTTCTCTCTTTTAGCAAGCAAACCCCAAAGCAAAACTATATATTTGAGGTTGGTACGAAGTACTTATTGACTTTATTTGTGGCGGATCAAAGCATTTGAGCTGAGATTAAGCCTCACGCCCTTTCAATAAGCTAAGTTGGTCCGACGAGAAAGGAGCTTGATTTAGAATGACTGAATATAGCATCTCATCCAAAATGATACGCGCTTTCTTGCTCTCGGCTCTGCTCCTGGTCCTGTTTATAGGACCAGAATGCTTTGTTGAATGCTTTATTGAAGATCCAATACCTCCTGCTGGCAGCGTCAACGATGAATTACTTGCAAAAGAATTTCTGGGTGATTTTAACACCAGGGCCATGGACGTGTATTCCAAGTCTGCATTCAAGGCGTGGGACTATAACACGAATATCACTGAATACAATCGGGAACAAATGGTAAATATAATAATAATAGCCCATATTTATAATGCGCCTAATATTCTGTTTCTAGGCGCAGTACATAATTATTATTACCCCAGTCAATGGATTCAGGCTTTTCCGCACACAATGTATGCACAATCTCCACTCCCTGTGGAGCATGCCGGCCAGTCGCCATTTTACAAGCGCCACTTGCTCATCCAACCACATTAACTTTCGCATAGGCCTATAGGGGGTACCTATTTAACACCTGGGTGGAGAGTGGCAAATGTAGATTAACGTATTGCCAACATTAGTGCCGTGTCGGGGATCGACCCAATATGAATCCATAAAACAGGCTTATTTTAGAAGTTGATAGAAAATTTGTATGAAAGAACTAAGATTTGTCATTCCTAGCGCCGTTTTAAGGTCTAAAAACAAAGTCCCATAAACGCTTCCGTTATTTAACACTGACCAGTATACCCCTTGTATTTTATAATAGTTCGAAATATTTAAAAAGATTGATAAATGAATATCAATAAGTAGAAATCATACATTAAATTCAAATTCACCAGGATTAAATAATGATCTGGATCACCTAAATTCATGTACATGTATGAAATGGTATCAGTATTTTCAATGCGTCATGTAAGATGGGAAACTTTTTACATAGATTAAAAGATATTTACATCCTTACTTAATTGCCTTTGTGGTGTGTAAGAATGGGGATATCTGGCATCCTATATCCGCTACCATTTCTACAACAGTTGAAACAAATATATTAAAAAAATATTATAAAATATATCACGAATCGAGTTATAGTTCGTTTATGCGGATCTATATTGTAGACACACATAATAAAGGTAACTTTACTGAACATGTTCGCAACGAATTTCAATATCCTATTGTTTATCCCATAGAAATCATATTCGGAATACGCGATATTATCATTGCAATGTTAGCACATTTACAAACCAGGCTATTGAAATTACCATAAACTGACTTTTCAAAGTCATTGCGATCATGTTATTGATTGATTTTGACATCCTAAATATCTAACTCATCACTTTCGATTACAATCATATTTAACTCAACTTCTATGACATTGTCATCACCAATCCTATTGGCTTTTCCCCTGCTCAGGTCAATAGTAACCTCGAAACTGCGGTTTTCAGCAAGGATATGAGCGGATATGCAAATGCCTTCGACCAAACGGGATTTACCACCGATACCAAGAGGCAACTTGATAGCATTCGCTACATAGGATCGGCTGCGCTACCAGATGAAGAACTCGAAGAGGTATTTTTTTTTAAATAAATTAGTTTGATTCAACTCTAATTGGCAAACATTCACTTGCGAGGAGGAATCAATGACAGGAAAAAGCAGGTAGACCAACTAAAACATGGATTGATAACAGTGAACAGGAATGTCTTCATATGAGCAGCTACCTAGAACAGTTTAAGACAGAAAGTTACTGAATAACCTGTGTCTCAAGATCCATCACATGGTCGCCCAATCCCATAAAGCCTAAAGATCGCTGGTGTACTTTCGCATGGGGCGCCTGAAAAGTGATCCCATTGATTCCATTAAATATAATGCGTCTCTTGTACGCCTGATACATGTTACTCAAAAATCGTGTTTTTAAAATACTTTAAGAATACAAAGATTTAAAGTTTGACAAATCCTTTTTCAACTGTCTCGCTTGTAATTTTCGAATATGCTCTTTAGATGCAGTTTACAAACAATTAATATAACAGTTTTTCACTGCGATGTCTACAAAGTAGTCACTATCATTTAAACTTCCATTGCCGATTCATTTTTCTCCCTTTTTCTCCCTTCTTAATTTGATGTCGAATACATCTAGCTTGAAAATATTCTCTCTGGTATGGAGTCTCGCTACTCGACAGGTAAACCATGTGAAGCTGGAACCTGTTATTCACTAGAACCAGGTAAGTCACTTTTACCATGGACCTGTAGTAGGTCCATTCTTTTACCCATTCTACCTTCCTCCCCCATCCTCTCTCTTCTTCTCTCTTATCTCTCTCTAACTGTCACACTCGTTTCCCTTTCTACGTCAGTTTCAGAATCGAATTTCATTGAACCATTCTTAGAAATTTGAATTACCATATGATTATATCCCCTGCGTCCACAGTTTTAATACATTTCCATGCCCTGAGGTAAGTTTACAGATTAAAGACAGATGGTACCATGAAGAGACAAACACAGAAGCGGGGGAGTGGGGGGGGGGGGATTTAGCGTTTCCAGTGAGTTCATGGTGAAATATGTATTCATTGGTGTTTCTACACAACTTGTCATTCTCATTGTTAATCATATAAGCTAACATATATTCTCCTGTGTAGTACGCCGATTTTATGGCGGAAGAATATGTGAGCTATATCAAGCCACTGGATAAATCACGAGACTCCAAACTAAAATGATTAACTAAACAGCTGGTCCTTGAGATCAAAGGCCCTCGTGACCGATGGTCAACATGAACCCGGCTAATTTACTATTTGCTTGTCGTTAGCAATCGGTATAATAAACTCTATTACCTGTACAGGATGAGATGTGAGACCAATTATTTCGGTCTCGTAAAACCTAATAGAGAGCGAGGTTGGTGAGACAATTATTAAAATCTACGTTATTTTACTTTAATTCCATTGTTTTCTTTTTGTATCGTGGGTAGCCGGTTATATGGACCTAACGTAAGTAAGGATGTTTCCAAAAAGAGATCATATCTATGCCAATAAGAACATGAGCTCATTTATTCCCAGAACAAATCCAAAGAATATCTATGTTTTAAAGACGATGCAATATGTGTAGTTATTCTATTCATTTACATGCATTTATAGACCTCACTAGAATTATGGCCACATCACATGACTATTCCGAGTTATACTGGGCGTGGAACGCTTGGCGCGCCGAGGTGGGAGCCCCTGCCCGTGAAGACTACACCAGATATGTCGAGCTGAAGAATCAAGCTGCGATTGCAAATGGTAAGGATTTACGAAAAAATAGAGATAAGGATAATATAATGATCTCAAATGATGGTGATAATAAACACGATGATTTGACCAAAGTTCATCCCAGCTTTATAGAGAACAAATTTGAATGGCGAAATTACTTGCAAAGTGCTCGTAAGTACACCATTTCATGCCTGATCCTTTTCATTTCCTTCTTAGATACCAATTTGGCAATTATATAAAATCACGTTATTATGCACCAATAAGAAGATATTCGAAACAATTGTCAATCATTACTACATTTCATTAGCTTACAATTTTGATTGGTTTTACTTTGTGACTATTTCAAAAATTTCAAGGGTTATTGTGAAACAAATTCAGGAGACAATATAGCTTAGATATTTATTTTAAAAAATAGTATATATAAATGGGGTTATCAATGGGGGTGTAGGAAAATCACAAATTCGTGTTAGGCTACTTCAGGAATTTCGATCTATATCTGCATGTTTGAAAAACAAGGACCTTTCCCCTTTCTTTTTGTCCTGTTGGTCAATTTGACAAACTGACAATCTTTTGTTGGTTTGTTTGATTGTTATCCTAAATCTAGCGACGCCCCTTTCGATACGTTTCATATGGCGACTGATACAAGATAGAGATACAAGATATTTTATTTGGTCTTTGCAAACAAGTTACATATAAATTTGGTTTCCACTGGCGTTACAGTAAAATTCAAGAAAATACATAATCATGGTAGTGATAAATAATAGCGAAGATGTAAAGACACCTCCCCCAACAAAACCTAAATATATATCAATATGTTCCGTAATACAATGGAGTAATTGTGGAATATAAAAATGTATGAAGTTTTAAAAACACAATTCCTAAATAGATCGATATTAAACGGAAAACAACGTATTCCAGAGGTAGAACCGAATTGTGATAAAATATAGAGGACACCGAAAGGGTATTCCCACTTTTGATTGGCCCCATTCGGTCTGCCTTTGATATTTAATTTTGAAGGTTGTTTTTTTTTGTTATTGTGAGAAATATTTCCGATTCCCTAAAACTTTGCCATCATACTTTAATTGCCGTCATACTTGATATCGGAAATGAAATTTTCTGAACTAGTTTGACATGAGCGCAAGAAAAAAAAAAGGGAAAAAAGGGCAATTTCGACAGCCTTGTCCAGCACCTTTTGATGTGTGTGAACTATACAAAAGAGTATTGAAATTGCCTCCCGATTTCATTTTTGTTTTCTCAAGTATTTTCGATCGTGTTTTTCATTTCGGGTACTCTCGGGAACAAGTTTAGGCGTGTCTTATTTCTTCGTTCGTGGGTTAGTTTCATTTATTTAATTATTTCTTCTGTTTTTTTGTTTGTTATTGTGATGTTTAGTTTAGACTCTCATGTGCAAAGTCTGTAGTTCTAGCGATGCTGATTCATTCCGATCACCTATTTCCCATGTGATTCATTCCTTTTAGATCAGCCAGATGCAGGTGCATACTGGCGATCGTACTACGAGGTGGACAATCTGCAGGAGATTACAGAGAAGCTCTATGATGAACTACAGCCACTGTACGAGCAGCTCCATGCCTATGTCAGGAGAAAGCTGTTCAATCGCTACGGTGCTGACTACATCAACCTGCGTGGACCCATTCCTGCACACATCTTAGGTTGTTATCTCGATTTTCATTAAAGTGTCTGACATAATTATTCAGTGTTATTAATTATTCATTTCTATTAAATGTTGAATCGAGAGTTTTTAGCATTTTCAAGCATCATAAACTAAATTAGAATTCAAATAAGTTTCCTATAAAATACTTGTTTCCTGCCTAATATCTACACTTTTTGCCGGTGGATATCATTAACTGATTACAAGTTTAATTCCTAAGACCTATTCAAAAAGTCAAAATGAGAGCCCTTGTTGATTTAACGTCTTCATTATTATTCCCACCTTCCTTGTGGTTTGTGACTATAAGTCAGGTCTGTAATATTTTTCTTCATCAGGTAATATGTGGGCGCAGTCGTGGTCAAATCTTTACGACATATGTGAACCGTTCCCAGGGAAACAAGCTGTCGACATAACACCTGCGCTTGTCGAACAGGTAAAACCAGAGGCGTATCCAGTATTCTCTTCCTAAGGGGGAGGGGGGGGGACGGACGATTACATTGTTTTTAGCCCCAAATTTTCTGACAAGCAAAAAAATATATATATATAATTTTAGGTACCTTATGGGGTCTAATTTGCTGCAGGGGAGGGGAAAGGAACAAGTTTTCCCTTCATTTGCCAACGGAGTTGTTTGTCCTTTTAATGATATCGTCTAATTACGATGATTAAACCGATGTTGACTAATACACTAAGATAATAATGATGGTGAAAATTCAAATGTATTATGTTCACCTTATCCATTGTGACCCTCGTTGAAGATTTTGTCCTAGAGTATTATTAGAAATTCAAGACACCGATGTTTTTTAAAATTATTATTACTACTATTATTTATATTATCATCATTAGGAGTCTTGCTTATATGTCTAGTGAAAAATAAATTTTCGTGAACCGGCGTATTATTTTTGTTAAACAATTTTCTAAATCTTTACACTATATTTGAACTTCATGCCATCGTTTACAGATACATTGGAGAGGGTCCAATTGACTGTCTAAGTGTAATCGCTAGTTATATTATCCTATGCGAAGCTCTCCAATCTATTATCACAGCAGTTTCTTCAGTAATATTTCACAAAGTAATCCAATGAAAGTATGTTGCTCTAATCCGTCACTTCTATATAGAACTATGATGCTTTGCGGATGTTTGAACTCTCTGATGAGTTCTTTGAGTCGCTTGGTCTTATCAAGATGCCCCAAGAATTCTGGGACCATTCGATGATAGAGAAGCCGGATGATGGTAGAGATGTTGTGTGCCATGCTTCAGCTTGGGACTTTTCCAATCAAGTTGATTTCAGGTGAACAAGAAAATCCAACCGTTGCAAATTCTTTACGTTAACTTTACATTTATTCAAAACTTTTCCCCAAAGTGACCAGACTTTAACACTAAATTTGGTGTACAAATAATTTGAGGGTAAGCATGACGATGACTGCCCAAGTCAGTTTATTGTTGAATAGTCGTTTGATAATAAAACAACTTTCAATAACTCACATTTAGTATCGTACATCGTATCAACTAGATTGCACGGAATGAAGCTAGATGTCTGCGAAGATGACAATAATATTAATATTCTAGGCTTACAATTATAGCGCTCCATACATATACGACGTCTCTAAGCGCTTTACAGATATATAATTACCCTGGCCATTGGATTCAGGCTTGCCCGCACGCAGTGTATGTACATCAGTGGTGGATCCAGGGGGCGGGCCCCACCCCCCCCCCCCCCCCGGGGGGGGGGGAAACGTGTAAAAACACGTTAATTTTGACTTTTTGGGAGATGGGCCCCCATGGCGCTCAAGGGGGGGGTGCAAATTTTCAAGTTTTTGATTGGGAGCAAAAAGAAAAAAATTGGGCCTCCACCCCTAAGAAATCCTGGATCCGCGCCTGATGTACATTCTCTACTCCCTGGGGAGCATTCAAGCAAGGTGCCATTTTAACGGACGCTCACAATGCTGAGCAAACTATATTCGCAATCTATCTACAAGAAGAGTGTAAAAGTGGATTAATGTCTTGACCAAAGACGTCAATGTCAGACTGGGATTCGGTTTGGATTTAGAGTCAATAAATGAAAATACCACGACACCTCCACAAAGAAGAATTATAGGTCATTATTTTATTTACACGTCAAATTATGAGGATTCTATGAAACACCATTTTGTTCATTATATTATTACTGATAGGATCAAGCAATGTACGGACATCACCATGGACGACTTCATCACAATCCACCACGAGATGGGGCACATCGAGTATTACCTCCAGTATAAGGATCTCCCTGTAGTGTACAGAGGTGGAGCCAACCCAGGTTTTCACGAGGCCGTGGGCGACGTCCTCGCTCTGTCCGTATCGACACCCAAACACTTGAAAGAAGTTGGATTGATTGATGAAGTGGTTGATGACCAGGGTATGGCACTTGTTTTCTTTCTCATTTTTTTTTTTTGGCGGTAAAAATTATCGGGCCCCATGAGACCAACTTTTGTTGAATGGGCTACCTGGTAAATGTATTATTCAATAAATAATAAAAAGTAAATAAAAACTATCGTCGTCACATCGAGTTAATATAATGTAGCCGATTTAATGACGACAGTACAATAGATTTTCTGCCAATGTGTCACTGTCTTGTCTGCTAATATCGGGTATTTCCTGTTAATACTATTAATACTATTAATACTGTTAATACTATTAGCTTGAAGCTTCCAGAGATACCACAAAAGGAGACTTTGTTTTGTCTCGGAAAAATCTCAGCTCTGTTTGTAAAATTTGAGAAATGTAATGAATTTTTAATCTACTGACACAGAGGCTGATCTGAACTTCCTGATGAGTATTGCTTTGGACAAGATTTCCTTCCTGCCATTCGGGTACCTGATGGATCAGTATCGATGGGGAATCTTTAATGGGACGACTCCAGAATCCAAGTTTAATGAAGACTGGTGGAAACTAAGGTAAGACCATTCACATCTTCACTGGAAAATGGTATTATGTTGATCTTGGCTGCCAAAAGCGGAAACAAATTTGGATCTGTATTTTTAATATTTGTAAAATGACTGTGTGTTATCAAACACGTTTGCTCCAAAGCACACTAGCGTATAGACTCTGTTTCTTACCCTCGCATGATCTGATTTGAACTGGTCAGACAACCAAGCTATATTGAAATGCGGCTTTAATTATGGAATTTCAGTGTAATGAATATCACAACTATTTTGTAAATGAAGTTATACAAAATAATTTTTGATTGACCAGAAAGTATTTCATATTGCATTATTTATAAAGACTACCCTTATAGGATTTGACAAAGAAAAGAAAAGAACGGGGAAATATGTTATCACATCACATTATGTCATTTCTTTAAATAGATATGATAAAGGAACAAAAGACCTGGAGCGGTACAATACTTTAAGAGTTCACTAGAATTACCGAGATATGTGGAAAAGGTTGCAGTCAACCTCTGAGCTGGGAGAAGATAAATGGAATGTAGACCAGAAAGTGGTAACAACTTGAAACGAATAAAAAAGAAGAAGATTTCAGCAGCTTCTGTAATGTACTTAATTATGTATACCTAATATATGTCTATTTTCTATCATTATACATTTTAAGCGGTACATTGATGAGGTTGAGTCACCGTTACTTTTCGTTTCTCGTAGACTCCGTTACCAGGGTATCATACCACCAACGACAAGGACAGAGGAAGATTTTGACCCGGCTGCTAAGTACCATATCCCTGCTGACGTACCTTACATCAGGTAAATTAACATAATTTTTATAAATGTATTATATAAGAGTAACTCTTGCAGTAGAGGGGTACATTTGAATCAAATATATGAGTAATACCGCAGGATAATGGAGAAAGCATCTGAATAATTGTATCTCTTCAGTGCCCTAATCAATCGAAAGTTCTAGTGTGTTTTTCCTAATGGTAATAGGAAGAATATATACAACAAGCAATAGTTTCATTGGAGGTGGGGGGGGGGGGGCAGGCGACTCAAGCAAAATTGTAAGCTTGCATTTGGTCATAGTAAATTAACTGCATCGAAGAGTCTCTTTCGATTAACTATTGGGGAGAGAGATATTGCCTCTTAGACCCCATTTAAGACTTAAAGAAAGGTTTTTAAAAAACACTCATAAATAGATGAGTTATATCATATCTTTTAGCTCATAATAAACATGCATACGATTGTTCTTTTATATTGCGCAAGATCCAGTAAACAAAATTGCTCAATGCGCTTTATAAATATATATGATAAATCAATGCTAAACAGACCTGCAGTTTTTGAAGAGGTATGTCTTTAGGCTTAACCGAAGTGGGAGTGCGGATGAAAGACGGGAGGGTATTCCAAATATGGGGTTGTAATGAGAGAAAATATACCCTCCCCCGATTTCGACTTGACAAGACAAGAGATAATCGGAGCAATGTATTTTGAAGAGCGGAGTTGATATTGTAATCGGGTTAGTGTATTTACAATTACAAGAATGGATGATTTGGTACGCAATTTTCAGGCATTTATAGACTGATAGTTAAAAACGTACTTCTTAAACTAGAGTCTTTTACTCCCCATCTTATGCAGATACTTCATAAGTTTCGTCCTGCAATTTCAATTCCACGAAACTTTGTGTGAAGCCGCCGGACAGACACAAGAACTCTACAAGTGTGACATCTACAATTCGACCGATGCCGGTACATTGCTCGCGTGAGTGTCTTCGTTAAACGTCAATTTACTAATAACACTGTTGCTGTTAATTTCAGTTTATCCTTTTTGTATACATTACTGACATGATTTCCTCACTCAACAATAATTTTTCCCTCCACATGCCTTGTTGAATGGGCTTTACCTTCGAAATATTTGATTAAATTCTTTTATATTTTGTTGTTTGTTTGTTGGTGGGTCGATTAAGATTATGGTTGAAACATCCAGCTTGATGCATATTTTGTGTGTAAACATTATGAATAAACTTTTACTCTATAATGAATTCCAGTTTCGGAAAGTAAACATTTATAGTTACTTTTTCGCTAAAATCCTTGTTCTTGGTCACTTACGTCTATACAAAGATAAATACGTATGTACTTTATGGGGAGGACTGCGGATTATACTTCAAAAACTGTTTTCAATATTTCTATACTTAAATGCAATGTTTTATTTTCTATATCATTTAGCAACATGTTAAAGATGGGATCAAGCAAACCTTGGCCTGAGGCTCTCGATGCCATCATTGGAAGCACAGAAATCAGCGCTCAGTCTCTGATAAATTACTTCCAACCGCTTATCGATTACTTGAAGGAACAGAACGAAATGAATGGAGACACGGTGGGATGGGCAGAGATGTATACTCCTAAAGGTGGGCAGATATAAATAAAAAACAATACTTTCAGCCTTTTTTTATTTACCAAGGAAAGTCACATCAGTAGTACCACTTCTCTTCCTATGGATCCTGCAATAATTATCACCCCAGCTTTGCCAGGTACCCATTTGATACACATGTTGGGTAGAGAGAGATGAATGTGGGCATAACACCTTGTCTGAGATTGCAAGCACCTAGCAACGATCTAACCCGTAACATTTCGTTTAACAATATTGAGCCATCACCAATATAATACACGGTGCTTCCACCAAAGATACTCATAGTTGTAAAGTTATTTTATCACTCTAACATTTCTTTTGTTATCAGTCGGCGATGATTTGAGTTGAATCTCATTTTTTCTATGCAGCAGATACCGGCTTTTTAATACAAAATTGATTTTCATTTCTTATATCAATAAATATGTATAAACAGGATTCAAATTGGCAGAATTTATGAAAATAATGGTAAAAGGCCATTCTTATATTTTAACACTTTACGCAGTACTATTATGTATCAATGAACATGCAAAGTTTGCTCAGACAGAAGTCCGAGGCTAATTTAAGGGGGAGGGGGGGGGGGAACAGACACCCACTCCTGCCACGGTGACAAGATAAAACTTCTAAAAAAGGACAGATTAAGATAATAACGTCTTCAAGTAATTGAGCAATTTGAATGACAAATTGAATAACTATGTTTATCTTATTCTATTATTTTTGTATCCTCTCTTGCATGATCCCGTCATTACCCTGTTATGCTCACTTTACAGATCGTAAGTATAATGAGAATTATATGATTTTATACTTTGCTACGTATTTTGTTATGACATTAATTGTAATGTTTTAAGAAATACATGGGAATCATACGACAATTTTTAAGCCATCATGGATGGTGTTTTATTATAAAATATATCTTAAAATATAGATGAGAGGTTTTTTCCTAACAAATTTAAAATGTCAATGTAAAGTCTTTTGCTCCGTATTTGAATAATCTGTGAATATTACTTTGTTGTAATCTAATATTCCTCTATCAAATATAATTTTATACTTAAGTTTTCTTAACAAAACAAACTTCTGATGTTGTCTACCGTTACTTTAAAAATGATAATTTGATAACATTTTTTTTTTATTTTTTTATTTATTTATTTATTCATTTATTTTTTTTTTTTTTTTTTTTTTTAATTTATTTATTATTATTATTATTTTTTTTTTTTTTTTTTTTTTTTTGGGGGGGGGTTGCCAGGGTTTGTTGGCTGAATGTGGCCCCATATAGATAGTTACTCTAATTAATTATGCAATAAGTGATATGTACGTCCGCTATACTTGAATGGTAACTGTTGGATTTATTTTGGTTAAAGTTGCAAATCAATTCATTTTTTCTCCAGCTGAATTGGATCTGACAAGATGGGAGATGGGTTATGAGCAGTGGCAGGTGGACATGGCGGAGTGGAAGAAGTCATTCGAAGAGTACAAGGAACAACCGACATGCAATTAATTTCTCTGTCTGGCCCGGTTAAAATCATTTTGGGTAGTGGTAGTATAGTTCCGTTTGATAAAACAATTGCCCTAAAACAAAAGTTTGCCTAAAAAGGCAGATGACGTAGGAAATAAAAAATAAAAGTCATGAGAATTTGAAACTATAGCAAAATTATGTGATAAAAAGTTATATAATCCTGCGTGTAAGTGTATTCATGCGAGTTCGGCTACTATAAAGGGGGCACGAACATCATGCGCCCACTCTTTTTCATCAATCACGGCAAAGGGTATGGACATGTGATACTCTAAAAATGTGGACAAAAATTTGTTGGTACATTTTTAATTGCTTACATTTTTAACATTACATACAATTTGAGGGCTTTTTTAGATCTGTTATGATATTTCTTTACATAAGGGTATAAAGACGAGACAAATAAACTGTTGGAAATGCGATTAATCCGACGTGTGAGAATAATCTAATTAAGATAGATTTAGTCCAATAATAATGACTGCTAATGTTATCTCCAATAGTGTGATGAATGCTTTGTAACAGACACGGACACATTAGCATGAGACGTAATGAGGGTTGATAGGCTTTCGTCACAAAATTATATCATAATAATTAGATCAGTCGTATGTAATCTTGATCACGTTCATCCCCAATGTGTACAAGATATATTTCTTCAGAGGTACTTCGTTCAGGTAACATAGTTTCGTGGATTCTTTGATCAATTGGTTGTGTGATTGATATTTGAGAAGTAATGATTTCACGACCTGATATTTTTTTATAAATAATTAGCCAAGGATGTTTGTACGAAATTGTGAGATATATACTCAGTGTAGTTCCTATCCATCATAGATAGAAGTCCAATATAATTGTTCTGATGTATTCGATATAAATATCTTAGTATGGTATTTTACTCGAAGCAAAGTGTATATTACAAATGTTTGTATCGTGATTTTAATACTTTAATTCCAAGTGATTTTACCAGACTAAAGGTACAATTAACCATGCGTTAAGAAGGTACTTAGATCTGTGATTTGAATTTTTTAAACACTGGAAATACATGGTAAAAATGATTAATGTTTTGACTGCAAGTAACGAAGGAACAATCTTGTAATTACAATAATAGAATATGATTAAATTTGATATGAAACAATAAGTTTACAACATTGAGTGGATTAACGTTTCATCTGTTAGTTTATACATTCTCAATCTATTGAATAATTTCCATTGTTAATGAATTTTCAAAGTTAGCACACAACACAAAGATTTAAGACCAACAAAATAAGAAGTGATTTTTAGTCATGCATGGCTCTGCAGGCTGAATGATTTTGATTTTTCCTCTCGGCATTAAACGCCCTCAATTGATACAAAAAGTAAAAGAATGCAAGCAAGTCATTTCCCTCAAATAATTGTATCTATCAACGAACATGTATAAAGGGTTGCGTCCCTGTATACAGAAAGCATACAATATATTTCTAATAACTACCGAAAAACTTTCAGAAAATTATCACCATACCTGTTAAAGAGTATGTGTGTCTGCTATTCTTAGATATAGCGCTCCATGAAATCCTTACTTCGTTGGCATGCAGACCCTTCTCCTATTCTTGACAGACAAATAAATGCACATAGCATGGTTAAAAATTCTACCTGTGTTTAATCTTGAATTTGGGCATAATGCGATAAGGATGCTTTCTTTTCCAATGTCTGACAGGTATGCGGAATCATCGGCTGCATGGAAATGTCACGACATTTAAAAAAGGTCCGAACTTGCTTCCAACCAAAACATCGCGGTGCCTCGCCAAATTGAATTTAACGCAGACAAGTCATGTTCCAAAAACAATCATTAGCAGTATTTGGCTTGCTGTCACACAGACCTGCGAGCGACTTCATTTAATTTGCCCGCTAACTGGCGCATTCTCATCGTAACATCCAAGGCCCTCCCAATCTCTCGTGTTCAGTGTCTGCCTCGAGTTACCTCCTACTCATTCATATCCTCTAGCGCTCTTTCCATCTCATTTCGTATGTGCATGCATGTTCACCACCTTCTCCTTATCCTCCTGATTACTGTCCCATGATGTCTTTCTCTCTGCCCCCTCTCACCCTTGCTCTCCCACATACTCTCTCTCTCTCTCTCTCTCTCTCTCTCTCTCACTCTCTCTCTCTCTCTCTCTCACTCTCTCTCTCTCTCTCTCTCTCCCTCTTACCCTTGCTCTCCCAATTCTCTTTCCTCTTTCACTCTCATCTCCCTCTTCCTCTGTCTTTTTCTTCTCTCGCTCTTGCTGACTCCTTTCGACTACCCCTTCTCTCTCTCCTCTCTCTCTCTCTCTTCTCTCTCTCCCTCTTTCTCTCATCCTCCATTTCTCCCGGTCTGTTCGGTTCGTTTTTCCATTCATTACAAACCCATGTGCGTGTATAATCAAATGCATCCGTCTGCATTACATATATCTCTTCATGACAACATACTTTTTCATAGCAATTTCGTGACACTTTTATATACCAGGTACAACTAAATTTGATTTTTGTAGAATGTCATTTAATGCAGAAAGCAGTAAGACACTAAAAGGTAGCATGCAGGCAGTATACTAATGCATTGAACTCACCAGTAACTGTTATCCAATTCACCTTCATTTGTCCTTCATTTGTTCTCTCCCTCCATTTTATTCCTGCATTCGACTGTACATCAACCTATTTTAATTATCCCCATTTCTCTCATCCATATAGATTACCCTCGTATAGACAAGTGAGTGATCATCCCGGTCTAATGTATCGTGGTTCCTGTAAAAACGTGCATTGGTATCGTGTTCGGACTTACTACTCCTTAAAGGTAGTGTGTCCCTTTTGCAGCCAACATCAAATTCTGTAGAACCTTGCAGGAATTATGAATATGTCGCGTATGTCCTATCTGTGAAATGTAAGCGTTAGCAATATCCTAGTATTCAAATTACGCAAGGAAACCCGTTTAATTTCTAGACTGCAATGTCAGACACTACTGCGTGACTGACTGACTTCTTTTTTATTTGGTAATAACATACATAAAGTGAGCTGTAAAGAGTAGATGAGCATTTGTCTACATCACGAAATGGCCAATTTAAACTGATACTTTGTGCAGCACAAAACATACGACCATTCGGTACAAGGGTCTGAAAATCAAACTATTTAATAAAACTACTGCAATCCCTAAATTTGATTTGACATCTAACGGTCGATAATTTCCAAAAAATGAAACTTTCAAGCCCTTTTATTTTGAGGGAAATTCTAAATTAGTATTATCTTTCACATGCCGTTGGAATTAGTCCTTTTCATTTTTTGGCCTGCAAATGGGACATAGTACCTTGAAAGGTAATCTCATGTCCTGATAAACGTGAATACATTACGTGAGAAACCGTCTGAATTTCATTCCTACTTCATTATACAACACGGTCGCAAAGACTTTCGGAAATTCAATACAAGGACAATCTCGATACCCTTTTGTATATCGGATCCATAGAAATACTCTTCGGGTTACAATATGCGTCATAGGAATAGTCGCACGTAATAGATGATGGACTGGGCTATGAAATTACATACAGATGATTTTCGAAGTCGTTGTGGTCCTATTATACATGTATTTATGATGAATAACATTGTGATTTACCAAGAGTAGTCATGCAATCAGTATTCAGTGGCTGATACAGCTGGGGCCAAGTTGGACGCTGTCCTCCGTCTGCCTCTTCTACGGCTTAGTTAACAAATAATAACAAAAAGAGAGAGCTTTGCGTACACGTTAACTTCGGCTTCATATCCCCCCCCCCCCCCCCCCAATTTACGACAGTCCTGGATCCGCCGCTGGTATTGATACTGCTCTTACTGCGGTCCCTGAAATATTCTGAGCCCAACATTGTCTGGGTCGAGAGGAACGAATAATTATGTACAAAACATAATGTAAAAAGACGTATAGCATTGAGCAAGGATGGAACCCGTGGTCACAAATATGGGTTAGGAGCCTTCACCAATATACTACATTGCTCCCACATATCCTGCTGTATGTGGTTCATGTCAGATTACTAATATGTGAAATATGAAACAACAAAAAACAACAAAAAAAGGCTGACAAACTTCATTGAAAAGCCCTTTATTTGTCTATTTATGTTGGAATACCAGCGGTAACTTTCCTCAACATTCTAATCCTGTTTTGACACAAATTTAAATTTTGCTACCGAAGGAAGATGTAAAACTATTTGTTTTATTCAATGTAAAAACCTGGTTCCATTCTATGTTAAAATGTATACCTTTCGTCATTACCAGATCTCCAACAATTATCAGCTGGACAATTAATCTTCTTTAGACAATTAGCCGAGTATCTACCCTCGCACGGTTGATCCCTCTCACAATAAAGATAAACTAGGACAACCATAACAAAAGCTACACATCCAACATAATACGAGCCACTAAGGGCAATTCGACCTTTTACAATTCAACAACAATTCATTCCGACCAGGAGTACAGCTTCGATATACAATTAACCCTATACTATGAAAATAAAACAATTACTCCTTTCATGTCTTACCTCGAATATGCATTCTCTATCAATGATGTAATATCTCTCCCTTAATGTCGAATTCCGAAAAATCCTGGGTCGCCTGACAGATTGAAAACTTCCTTTGATGTCCAATTATTGAGGGAGACGCTAAACACTCAACTATACAGAAAATAGCGAAATATAAAAGTTCCACATCGAAACAGACATCGAGATTCAGAAAAGCCGCTTCTTCAGTCAATTATTGATGCCTCGCGTTAGCAATTTAACAAGTCGTATCACCGAAGGGCCCCTGCATCAATGACGATTGGCTAATTGAAGCAATTTCCTTGCTGCCAACCGGGTAGTATGTGACAAACCCTGCGTTTTATAGTCAATTTACGTGCCTAATCCTCGCCTCCATGTAACAGTAAACCTTTAAAGTTCTGTATAATTCTTCCCTCAACCTTTCTCATGAATCCCCACTGAGTACCTCTTATCTCCCTCTCAAAGAATCTCAAATTCACCACGGCGGGCCCTGATAACTTCCTTCTAAAAATACGCTCGTTGATCCCATCTTCTTTGTAGTCCATTTATTTTCGCAACATCCCTCATTTTCACTCACATATCTCTCTACGATTTAACCAACCCCCTTTCCGTTGCCAATATCCAGCTTCTCTCATCGTTATCTTATGCACCGGTGCAACATGCCCTTTTCTTTCCATTTAATCTGCACTGTGAATTCTCTGGAGTATTTGCAATCCTTATTCATATGCCCTTCGTAAAGCAATTTCCCTGCCTCTTCTATTTAGGGAAGCACAAGTCATACACTTGTAATAACTGTCCATCATCTCACTAGTAATGAGTCTCTTGTGGGACACCTGTTTGGCATCGCGTAGATACATGAGCCACAGTAAGAAGCTTCCAAACAATCATCACTTGACATGTTTGTCCAATATCAATCTATTATAATATTCAGTCAATATGATGTGATAAACATTACATTCAATAAGGAAATAGATTGTACATGAATATCATTGGTAATAGCTCCAACAGGAATATACCAAACTTTCATGCACAAATAATTGTTTTCTTCACCATTGCGGAAAAAGAATATTATTGCAATGACATGATCTGAACATCGTTCACTTAGAAATTTGCAATATAATCTGTAACAATTCATTTAAAGCTTGTCATTCTACCACGTAGACAAAATTTGTCCAATATCATCACATCTTTCTAACAACTGGATCGATTTCTTTTTATGTCTCCGATTATAATTTTCAATTCTTATCATGTAACACTTTACCTACCGAAGTGCCGAGTGTCTAGATACCCTTTTGAAGCTTTTGGAAACAGTAAGATTAAACAGTTATAGGCACGTTCCCTATGACAAGTCTCTCTGTCAACAACATCGATGTGTCTTTAAATATTGCCATGGTAACCACATCAACGTCTCTTCAGGCCATTAAAATCGTCAATTTTCTTTGATTGTTTCTATGACAACTTATCCAATGTTTGTTTTAATGTTACTACCGTAGCCTCTTCTCTCATTTGCATGTTTATCCAGCAAACTTACGGATGTCCCCAAAATGTTACTGCATCAATGACATGCTGGAATAACAACTCGTATTTTATAAAAGAGGGTGTTCTTAAAATGCCTAAG